GATGTGTGAGAGGGGTGGCGCGGTGTGTGCTACCTGAGGGGAGGAGTGGGGTCTGGTGTGGGTGGGAGTGCAGCTGTTGGGATGGTGGAGAGTTCGGGAGCTGCCAGCAGTGGGTCCAGTTGCTAGTGGGTTACTGTTGGGAGGGTGTTGTTAATAAATTTGTTTTTATGCGATTTTTCCCCTGTTGTGAAAGCCCTGGGCTCGTATATTCTTTGTGATAAACATCACAGACTAAGCAGAAATCATGAGGTGTTTAAACAAAGTAGGTGGGGAGAAACTGTGCATTAGTCGAAGATTGAAAAACAGAGCAAACCTATTTAAAGTCGTTGGCAGAAGAAACAATCTGAGGGAAAACCTTTCCACATTCTGAATGGTTAGGGTATGGAGTGTGACTGTAGGGGAGGCATATTCAGTAAAGAGATTCAGAAGGGCTATTATCCAAAACAAACTTGAAACATTACCACAAGGGATGAAGTGGCCCTCTAGAAGTTGTCCCCTTAGAGAACTGGCACAGTCACAACAGGCCAAATGGTCTCCAGAGTGTTGCTGTAATTCTGTTCATCTGTTATTGCCAGACTGACCTGCCTAATTTGTAACTCTTTTTGTCTCAAGGGGTGATAGTGAGTGGCAATAGATAAATGAAGAAAAGGCTGTCCAATTGGAAGCAGCACTGTTTGTAATGATACAAACAAGTGTTTCAGGTTTTGGCATTTTGTTTAAAATGACAAAGATGCAAGATGACCTAAATAAAAGGGTTCCTCATAGCTGTCTTGGAAACAATGCTGTTTTGATTAATCTTAGTCATTTTGTGCTTTCTTCTCTCCTCTAAACACTCTCTAATACTTTCATTTTCTGTCACTTTGCAGTTTTGAAAGATCTGTGACGTAAATTGCAGGAGTTCATCTCAAATGTGATAGTTACAGCTGGTTGACTCATTATGTCTGTGTTAGCTTTCCAAATGAGCTTCTCACATGATGCTTTCTCGATGTAATCTTGCACATTCTTCCATTTCAAATAATGGTCTGATTTCCCTTTTGAGCAACAGGTGAAGCTGTTTCACACTGTGACTGTGTAGTAGCATCATGAGTGTAGTCACCACTTGTTGGATGGTACTGTCGAGGCAAAAAGACATTCTGCCTATCGCACAAGTAGTATATGAATTTCAGGGCTGACATCTTGTCAGATATGTAGGCCATATGTGCCAAAGATTGATGGATCATATAAAACAGCAAATCCCATCAGCTGTTCACAACAAGCAAGATGTTGATCATACCCTTCTGAAGGATGAGATGCAGATCTTAAGGAAGTTCGACTCATAAAATGGAATGCCAAAAAAACCTTACTCAAGAATGTTGGACAAGAAAATTGAGGTTTACATTTCATATTTTATTTCAGTGATATTCCATTCATGAAACAAGTTATTCACCATCCAATTGTTGTTGTTCAATTCTTTTTTCATTTCATGACTGCTCTGCTGAAATCAGTCAACTCCCTGGAAATTTTCAGGACTGTGTGCTCAACTGCTTGTGAATAAATTCTGCTGAGTCATTAGAGTACCACCTTGGGTTTGGGGAGCATGGCTGAATTGAACATTCTGTCCACTGAATCTCAGCAATGCTTCAGTTCACTAGTTTCTCTGGATCATAGAACATTGCAATATTGCAAGAACTGTCATTCAGTACCTTGCTGTACAGAAAGATAATAGTGGATGTTTAACATAGTAACTCATTAAAATAAAGATGACTTGCAAATAATTACTGATCTGTGGTTAACAATGACTGTTAATTGGCTTGAACTCTGATCTTTCAAAGTTTGTGTCATTTATTATTAACGTATTTAACTATAATACATCAACATGGTGGCATTATTGCTGTTAGTTGGCCACAAGAGTACTTCAAGGAGGCATTTTTGGATTTTTTAAAAACTACTACCTAGTACTCTCTTCTGTTTCTCCTTTTTTTTCTTTCTTGCTTGCTTTCTTTGTAGGTTTGTCTCTCTCTCTCTCTCTCTCTCTCTCTCTTATCGAGAAAGGGTTTAGCTCCTGGTGGACTGATAAAGATTCTCCCATGAAACAGTTACTGGTGAGCCTATATATTTCCAGAATTTTCTAATATTCATTTTAAATCTTCAGCACTTTTCCCTCCTTTTATCTTTTATTTTAATTTGGATTTGATCTATTTTCCTACTTCGCACATTCTGGAGGAGTGGAATTTCTTCCTGCTGTGCTGTTTGGTCCATATGGATGGCTGTTAGCTCAATGACAGGGTAACTCCAACAATGCACTGAGGTTATCATGAAGATTTCACCGTCTCAACTTTGCACCTTGCCTGAGGTGTGGTGACCCTCCGGTTAAACCACCACTAGTCGTATCTCTCTTGCTGTCTGTCATGAGAGAGTTGCCCTATGGTCCTCTGGTACTATATGAATCGTTTATAAGTCACTGCTTTCAGTTAGTGACAGCCGTTTCATCAGAATCTTTTGAGATTAATTAATAATACTATCAGGATGCTGTGATTGGTATAAATCTCAGTTTGTGTTCCTTTTCTATCATGAAGTGAATTTTCTGTTCCATTACTTGTGTTTCTGGAAGGCTGTGTTTCGAACTCGTGATGTTGTTTAACCCTTCCATGTCAAGTTCTGATGAGCAGGCTGTCCATAGCTCCTTCAGTTTCGCAAACATTATTTGCAGTCTGACTCTTCAACTTGGAAACGGTATTTGTTAGAACATTGCTTGGTAGTAGAGAAGTTACGCCACCGGCCTGAGAACTAGGATTGACAGTTAACTGTTCCTGTAAAAGCAAAATACTGCCGATACAGGAGATCTGAAACAAATATAGCAGGTCTGGCAGCACCTGCAGAGAGAGAGAGAGAAAACTAGAGTTGATGTTTGGGAAGTGTAGATGTACAAAGGGATCTGGGTGCCCTTGTACAATGAAGGTCCTATGAGGATAGATTGGTTTGACTGGCCTGTATTCACTAGAGTTTAGAAGGATGACGGGATCTGATTGAAATGCATAAAATGCTAACAGAACAGAGTAGATCCGGTGGACACCAGTCTCTGGCTACAGGGTGGTTCGTTCAGAACTGAGAAGAGGAAAGATCACTTCACTCAAAGAGTAGTGACTCGTGGAATTCTCTACAACAAGGCTGTGGAAGCCAAGTCACTGAATATATTCAAGAAAGTGTTAGATTAATTTTTAGATTTTAAAGACATCAAGGGATACAGGGAGAAAGCAGGAATATGCCACTGTCAGTACGATCATGGCTGGTCTGTATCTATGACAAAGTAGGATCAAAGGTCTGAAAGGCTTATGCCTGCTCTTGGTTTCTATGTTAAGGGGCCTCCTGTAAGTGTATTTGTCTTTTAAAATGCAGTAAATTTTGCAAGTACATTTCTGAAAGGAGACGGTGCTGATATAAAGAGCATGGGCAATATAGCTTATTTCAGAAATTGTCTACACAACTGTTTAATTTATGGAAAATGTAAACTTTGTTTTTGAAGAATTTCTTTCTCTACGCTTCTGAAGGGTTTTGACCTTTGCTGAGACACATGCCTTGGTATCCTTACCTTTACTCTCTTTTTCCATACCCTTTCCCAGAAAATGCTGTTATCAGTAGCAATTTTGAAAGTCCCAATAGCCTCACACTCCATGATATTTTGGAAGGAGCTGAAGGGCAAGAATGCAAGATTTCTAAACCCTTCACATGATTCTTCTTTTTCAGTTGCTGTTTCCTTTAGGCTTTTTCTCAGTAACCAGATGAAATAGTCTTTTTGTGTCTACCATATTGATTAAACATTCTACAAACCTCAATCAGATGAGCCCACAGTCCTCTTCACTTGTGGGTATCTACAATCTCCTACACCCAGTTCCATCAGGTATTAAGAAATCCATAACTTTCCTTTCTTTCCATAGCTCCAGTTCTCTCCTGTGAAGCTAGCCGAGCTTCACAGTGACTTGAAAATCCAGGAGAAGGATGAACTGAACTGGAAGAAGTTGAAAGCCGATGGGCTCGATGAGGATGGCGAGAAGGAAGCTAGGCTGCGACGTAACTTCAATGGTAAACTGCGTGTGTTTTATAAACTCCCAAGCAGGGTTTATACTGACACAGGGAGAGAGAGTGGGTCGAGGCACTCGTGTGTGTACAATGGAAAACACGTGCATTGCCTTCTTAACTGCAGGACATCCCAAATCACTTTAGAACTGATTAAATATTTTAAAGTCATTTTGAAGGAATCTCATCAATCAATTTGTGCATGGTAAGCTTCCACAAACACCAATGAGATGATTGACTTTTTTTTGGTGATGTTGATTTGAGGAATATTTATATAATTACAGTGGGAAGAGCGCCCTACTCTTCAAAATAGTGCAGCAAATCTTTAATGCTTACCAGGTTGATATCCAGAATGGGCAGATTATCTTGACAGGAAAAGTTGGTTACTCTGGGCTTATTTCCGCTGTTGTTAGAGTGAGAAGTGACCTGATTGAAGTATATATGTTCCTGAGGTGTCTCACATAACAAATAGGAGCAGGAGTAGGCCCTTCAGCTTGCTCTGCCATTCATTGTAGTTATGGCTGACTGTCCAACTGCTGCTTTTTCTCCCCATATCCTTTAATCCTTTTAGCACATGGTCCTCTTTCTTGAAATCATACAATGCCTTTGGCCTTGACTGCTTTCTTTGGTCTTGACGAATTGGCAAGAAAGCTTCATTTGTGGCTGAGTCCAGAACTAGGAGGCCTGGTTTTAAAATTAGGACCAAGATGAGAATTTTGTTCTTGAAAGTTGAGAGACCTTGGAACTCTGCCCCAGAAGGCAGGGTCATTGAATATTTTTAAGGCAGAGAGAAATTCTTGTTACGTAAGGAAGTCACAGGTATTGGGTGTAGGTTGGAATGTGGCATTATAAATGCAAATCAATCAAGATACTGAATGGCAAAGTAGGCTTGAATGCCCTACTTCCACTCTTAGATCATATGTCTTCATGACATGGTATGTAGCATTGATTTTCATGTCCCATCTGAATTAAGACACCTTTAACAGTGCAGCACTTTTAGTCCTGCACTGAAGTGGCAGATAAAACAATCTAACCAGTGAACTTTGCTGTTTCTTTTTCCACTTCAGTAATCCTCACAAAGTACAGACTTGATGGAAGGAAGGATACTGAGTCTGTGGACACTAATTATCTGAGAGAGTCGATGGATTCCGAGAATGATGTGTTCGATGATCCAAAATTGGAGAAATTGTGGAATAAGGTTGGTAGTATGCCTTTAAACTGGTATCATTCCTAATTGTTTCAGCCAGCACAGCTCCTAAAATTAATCAAAGGAATAAAAAGCAAAATGGGTAGTTATCGCATCTGTAAAGTAGGCTTGTGCATATTTCAGCAAAAGGAATCCAGATTCATCTGTCACTACTTTGATGCTTTCAGTACTTTACGTTACTAAATGGCTAATTCCTAACTCACTGACTATGTGAGCTGGACCAGTTTGTGGATTAGATTGAATCCAGGGGAGAGGGGATCAAATATTTGGCTCTGACGCAAAGGCCATTGAAACTGTGCCTTTCACTGATGTTAAATCAAACAATCCTACATATACTTGGAAACGGAAGGCCTTCAGTTTTAATATAACAGTTATGGTAAATTAGCAAAGTTACACTTTTCTGTGAACCTGACCCATTTGCTTTAGAAAACACTAACCTTGTATGTCACACCCTGTGACAATCTCCTCTGACCAACCTTTATGCCCATACAAAGTTTCAAAATTCAACACAGGCACCAGCATCTTACAAATGCCACCTAGAATTGACAGAGGCAATAGATTGAAATATCGTCAACTGCAAGTTGCTCTCCAAACCGCACACGATCCTAATTTGAAAATATATTTCCGTTACTTCAGTGTTACAGTGTCAAAATCCTGAAATTCCTTCCCGAACAGCATTATGGATGTTCCTACACTAGAGAGATCAAGAAAGCAGCTCACAACCACTTTCTCAAGGGCATTTGGGGAAGGGCAATACATTTTGGCCAGTTAGTGATGTCCATATTCTGTGAATGCCCTTTTAAAAAGAAACACTCCTTGTGTCCTACCGTTCAGATTATACTGCCTTTCCATGTTGTTCCATTCAAAGTGCATTACATAACACTTGTCAACATTAAGTTGCACAGAAGGTCCAACATAGAAATAGACTATTTGGCATTTGTGCTTGTTATCAAAACTCTTGATTCCATTGTGCTTATCTAGTTCTCCTTTAAATGCATCTATACTATTTGTCTCAACTTGCTGTATAGTCTCAACATCCACATTATCACCACACTTCGGGGAGAGAACTTCCTTCTGCATTCTGAGTTTTTGGTGGCTCTTTGTATTGAAGGCTTCTCTTTGCTTCTCCACAGAAGATCCTCATCATGTCATCCCTCAGCCATCTCTTCTACAGAATCTTTTCAATCTTTGTAGGCTCAAGCACTATTTTTATAACTGAAACAAGAAGTTTAATTTCTCCCTAACAATTTAGCATAGTTGTGAACGGACCGGCAGGAAGTGGCATTAATTCTGCTGTAAACCGACTTGGACAACCAATGGGGCAAGTTTTCCACTGAATTGTAATTAAAGTTACAATCTTTTCTCATGAATGTGGAAATTTTGAAGATAAATTCTACAGAGCACAAGTACCATGTCTCACACAATTTTAACCAACAGCAGCTTAACCTGGACTTCTTGATAGGCAACAACATCTGGAAAATTTAGCGATGATGAGGTTCGAAAGCTGCGTCGAGAGTTCCAACACCACCAGGATAAAGTCCAGGAGTACCACATCCTGAGAGAGACTGTCAGCAGGAATGAAGGTATTGTCATTAAAAATACCATCTGAATTACTTCAGATTAAACAATTATAGAGAATAATTGTTCTCCGTCAGTTTTTCTAAATTATTTCTCAGTTACTGTGGACTTGTCACAGCTTCCTAGTTGCATTTATTAACAAAAAATTGTTATTTGATCATCCTTTGCAAATTGTACTCACTTGGAAGGACAAAAGAGTCTGTATTTAAAATTTAGATCAGGAATTTCAATTGGTCCTTCAGTGTTCCTACTTTCTAGTTGTGATTGCCTGCGCAGGTCATCAAGGAAATTTCAGGTGTATTTTCCCTCTTTATTGACCCTGGATTTTCTGTGGTTTTTTTTTGCTTCTTCAGCAAACTGTTCATGTCCCCTTTTTGCCCTCCTGATTTCCCTATTCAGTATACTCCTGCTGCCCTTGTACTCCTCCGAGGATTCACTCAATCCCAGCTGTCTATACCTGATATATGCTTCCTTCTTTTTCTTGACCAGAGCCTCAATTTCTCTAGTCATCCAGCATTCCCTACACTTACCGACCTTTCCCTTTGCACTAACAGGAACGTACTGCCTCTGAGCTTTCATTATCTCGTTTTGGAGACCTCCCACTTCCCAACTGTATCTTTATCTGCAAACAGCCTCCCCCAATCAACTTTTGAAAGCCTAATATCGGTCAAAATTAGACTTTAACTTTTAGATCAGGTTTCTCCTTTTCCATAACTATTTTAAAACTAATAGAGTTATGATCGTTTGCCCCAAAGTGCTCCCCTGTTGACACCTCAGTCACTTGCCTTGTCATATTTCCCAAGGAAAGGTCAAGTTTTGCTCTTCTCGAGAAGGTACATTCACATATTGGATAAGAAATCTTTCTTGTACACACTTAAATTTCACTCCATCCAAGCCCTTAACACTATGACAGTCCCAGTCTGTTAAGCACCAAATGTTGGCAAATGGGACTAGATCAATTTAGAGTGCCTGGTTGGCATGAACAAATTGGACTGAAGAGTCTATTTCCGTGCTGTATAAAGCTACGGCTGCAGGGGCGGAAATTTGGGACAAAATTAATAGTCACATGGGCGAATAAAGGTTAATTAAGGAGTGTCAACAGGGATTTCTTATAGGAAAATTATGTTAAACAAACTTGCTGGAGTTGTTAAAAAAAAGTAACGTAGACAGTGTTGTTGAACTGTTGTACATGGATTTCTAGAAGGTGTTCAATACGGTATCGCACAACAAACATGAGCAAGGTTAGAGTTCATGGAATAAAAGGGACAGTAGCAATGTGCATCAAAAATTGGCTATGACAAAAAATGAGTAATGGTTATTTATAGAATTTTTTAGAATTTATAGAATCCCTACAGTGTGGAAACAGGCTCTTCGGCCCAACAAGTCCACACCGACCATTGGAGCATCCCACCCAGACCCATCCCCTTATAACCCACCTAAGCTACACATCCCTGAACACTACAGGCAATTTAACATGGCCAGTCCACCTAGCCTGCACATCTTTGAACTGTGGGAGGAACCAGAGCACCCGGAGGAAACCCACGCAGTCGCCTGAGGGTGGAATCGAACCCAGGTCCCTGGCGCAGTGAGGCAGCAATGCTAGCCACTGTGCCGCTCCTAATAGTCTTTTGTGTGTTGGGAAAAGACTGTAGTGAGGTGTCCTAGGGTTCAGTGATGTGACTTTTGCTTTTACAGGTAAAAATTAATGATCTGGTTCTTGGTGTGCAAGGAACAATTTCCAAATTTTCGGGTGATACAAAACTTGGAAACACTGTAACCTGTGAGGAGCATGGTGCAGAACTTCAGAGGAACAGAATGATAGGTGACAGATGAACTTCAATGCACTGTTGTTACATTTTGGCCTGATGAACATGGAGAAACTATATAAAGGGTAAAAATTCGAGAGGTGAGGGCAACTTTGGTGTATATAAACATGAGTAAGTAAGGATGGCACGTCAAGACAGCAGTTAATAAGGCATTGAGGACAAGAGCAAGTAGGTTTTGCTGAACCTGTATAAGACAGTAGTTTGACCTCAGCTGGAATATTTCATCTAGTTCTGGGCTTTACACTTGGAAAGGATGTGAAAGCTTTGGAGACAGTGGAGGGGAGGTTTGTGAGGATCATTCCACAAGTGAAGGATTTTAGTTATGAAGCTAGATTGCAGAATTTGAGGACCTTTGCCTCCCCTCTTTCTTGGAGAGGAGATGGCCGAGTGGTATTATCGCTGGACTGTTAATCCAGAGACCCAGGGTTCTGGGGACCGGGGTTCGAATCCAGCCATGGCAGATGGTGGAATTTGAATTTGTTAAATATCTTAATAAATAAACTAAGAATCTAACAATGACCGTGAGTCCATTGCCAATTATCGGGAAAAACCCATCTGGTTCACTAATGTCCTTTTAGGGAAGGAAACTGCCGTCTGGGCAGTTAGGGATGGGCAATAAATGCTGCCTAGCCAGCGACGCCCTCATCCTGTGAATGAATAAAGAAAAATGAAACAGTCTGAGAAGCAGATGTGGAGAACATATTGAGAATGAGAGGGCCCAGGTTTAAAGTAATGAGTAAGAGAATCAGAAGTACTGAAAATGATTTTCCTCATGAGAATTAGGCCTCATAAGGAAAGTATTGCCTGAGGGTGTGTTTGACATAGGTTCAATTGAAACATTCAGAAGGATATTATTTTGTTAATGTTATCATAGAATAGAATCATCAAATCCCTAGAGTGTGGAAGCAGGCCATTCGATCCATCCAGTCCGCACCGACCATCCGAAGAGCATCCCACCCAGACCCACCCCTATAACCCTGCATTTCCTATAACTCACCTGCCCTGCACATCCCTGGACCCTGTGGGCAATTTAGCATGGCTAATCCATCCAACCTGCACATTTTTGGACTGTGGGAGGAAACTGGAGCACCCGGAGGAAACCCATGCATACTTGGGGAGAATGTGCAAACTTCACACAGACAATCACCAGAGGCTGGAAGTGAACCTGGGTCCCTGGTTCTGTGAGGCAGCAGTGCTAACCACAGCCACCGTTCCACCCATCTGAAAAGGAAGTGTGTGCAGAATTATACAGGAAAGGCATGCAAACAGCTTTAAGTGAGATGCTCACTTAGAGAGCTAGTGCAGATACGATGGGCCCAACAGCAAAAACCTGCATCATATCAATTCTGTTTCTGAAATGGGCATTTCTATTCACGGTTCTCCAGGCACCATATGTATGGAACTGACTTAATACCAGTTCGCCTTTTCCTGTCCAACAATTTTGAATATTTTTATACCTAGGTTATGATGTGATATTTGAAATTTTAAGACTGAAGGAACAAATGTTAAGGAGCTATGACAAAAATTTTAAATTATGGTGCAGTTTCAGGGTTTTTTGTTAGTGAACCTGCAACAGCAAATATGTGTTCCAGTTAATACCAGACATGAAACAAAAATATATGATTGAATCTTTTACCAGAAAATGTATTGAAACCAAGTAGTACCACTTTTCAGACAGATTTGGGTAAAGACTCAAACCAAAACATTAATCAGGCTTGAGAAAGGGTAGAAGATGGAAATTGTGCATTCACTTCTGATATAAATTTGTGCAGCTAGTTGTAAAGGCTGTATGACTCTATACTTCTCACGTACAGGCAGGTTTTTTTTTTAAAATAAAACACAATTCTATGTTTTCGGCAGACATTTATCAGAATGTGATCAGCCCTTCGGAAGCCCATGTGAAAGAAGATTTGCTCCACTCCAAACATGCAGAGCTGAAGGATAAGCACCGTAATGTTCAAGCAAGTTTTGAGCGTTTGCGCAAACTCATTCACCATGGTTATGATGAGGACAGTGGTAAGGCTCCTTTTCTTTGCTTGAATAGTACATTGTTTCCTTGATAGCTGCTTTTTTGGGAGGTTGGGGTGGTGCTTATTCCTTTCAGGTTGACTCACATGAGTCTCAATCGAGGGGGAGAAAAAAATCGAAAGCTTGAAGAGAAAGAAAAGATACTTGCCTTTATAGAGCTTCTTCATCCATTGAATCTATCAGGGAATTGAGGGATGTACGCATCAAGTAAGAAAGTGGAAACATGTTCTTGTTAAGTGGATGGAGAGGCTTAAGCTATCATGGCCCATTCCTGCTCCCATTTCTTTTGTTCTGTAGGCATACAAGAACATAATAAAAAGGAATAGAAATAGCCCTCATGGCCTGTTGAGTCTGCTGAACCATTTAGTACAATTATGGCTGATCGTGGGCTTCAGTTCCTCATATCCCTTGATTCCCCGAGAGACTGAAAACCTATCTATCCCAGCCTTAAATATATACTGCAGTGGACATCCACAACTTTTTGAGTGAAGTAATTTCTCAAGTCAATTCTTAAAGATTAGCTCTTTATCCTAATACAGTGCCCTAGTGTTTTAGCATTCCTAACCAGCAGAACTCAACCTCCCAGGAGCAGCCACTTCAAATAATAATATTTCTGGGCATATAACCAGAGATGCACGTTGGAGCCTGTCTGAAGTTACAATGCGCTGACTTTATAGGAATTGCCCAAGAAGTTTGAAGGAAGTGCTTCTGTTCCACAGGACCCTCCACAAAATGTCTCTGATTCACGTAGAGTAGTTAGACCGGAAAAGTTTGATGAAAATTTAACTCCTCTTAAAACTATACTAATGGCTCCCTCCACTGACAGCATTCTCCAATGGAAAATCATTCCATTTTTCTGAAAATACTGGCCCAGAAGACCCAGCCAGAAATGTGGAGTTCTGCTGTGAAAGCAAAATAGCAATCCAACAGTGACTGTCACTCTTCAGAAAACTTTTGTCGAAGTGTCCTCTTCGTTGGGTTTGTACTTGTTTCAGTGAAATTTGTTTTTTTTTTCTTCTCTCTTGTCCATTAGATTTTTCTGAGCCAAGAGTGCTTGAACTGTGGGATATGGCAAAGCGGTCAAATTTCACTGAGGATGAGCTAGATTCCATTAAGGTAAACTGCAGGATTGTTCAGTCATTGACTGACTACTTTCACACTTTATTTCTCCTCCCTTCCCACCCTCTAGGAAACTAACTGGAGGGAAGAATCTCTGAAAGTGGCCCTCTAGAATTCTTTGTTTGCAGATATGATGTATTCTAAATCCTACCAAGTCCCATTCACCCATTTGTGCTTGCTGCTAATCGTTAGTGCAGTTTTAAAATGATGGTCCTTATTTTCAAATTGCTTCATGGCCTCGTCGTTCACTATCTCTAATTTCCTGAAACCCTACAACTTTCCGAGGACTGTGTTTTTCCAATTCTGGCCTCCTTGGGATCAATGATTTTTATGCCTTCAGCTGCTAGGCCATAAGTTCTGAAATTCCTCCCATAAACCTCTCCATTTTGCCCCCTCTCACGCTCTCTCCCTAAGACCATCCTTTAAAATAAATCTCTGTGTCCGAGTTTTTGGTTATCTGTCTTAATAGTTCATTGTGTAACTCAGCAGAAAAAGATTTTGCTGAACTCCTAATGTGATACATCTGAGAATGTTTTATTGCATTAAAGTCGCTTTTATAGTAACGCATAGAGTATAAACCTTGAGAAGTGCGAGGTCTGTGTTACTAAAAGCTTGAAATCAATTAGTCAGTGGTAAGTGCATTGAGCATGGGGACTGGGAGGTCCTGTTGCAACTGGACAGGATGTTGGTGAGGCCACTTTTGGAATAATGCATTCAGTTCTGGTCTCCCTGCTATAGGAAAGATGTTGTTAAACTTGAAAGGGTTCAGAAAAGATTTACAAGGATGTTGCCAGGTTTGGAGGGTTTGAGCTGCAGGGAAAGGCTGATAGGCTGGGGCTATTTTCCCTGGAGCATTGAAGGCTGAGGAGTGACCTTATAGAGGTTTATAAAATCATGAGGGGCATGGGTAGGGGAAATAGTCGGGTCTTTTCATCCGGGTAGAGGAGGCCAAAACTAGAGAGCATAGGTTTATGGTGACAGGGAAAAGATTTAAAAGGGGCCTCAAGGGCAACTTTTACATGCAGAGGGTGATTGGTGCATGGAAGGAGCTGCCAGAAGAGTGGCCAGAGGAGGTGGTGTAGGCTGGTACAATTCCCAACATTTCAAAGGCATCTGGATGGGTATTTGAATAGGAAGGGTTTAGAGGGATATCGACCAAATGCTGGCAAATAGGACTAGTTTAACTTAGGATATCTGGTCAGCATGGACGAGTTGGACAGAAGGGTCTGATTCTGTATGACTAGACCTTTTGGGACTGTTTTGAATCAAATAGGAGATTCTTTCTTCCTGTTTTCTGCACACTTTAACTCTCCATCTATTTGCTCACTTGTCCCACAACCCCTGTCATCATCATTTATAATATCTTTTTCTAGTTACTATCAGTTCTGAAGAAGGGTTACTGGAGTTGAAGCATTAACTCTGTTTCGGTCTTCATAGTTGCTGCCAGAACTACTGAGTTTCTTCAGCAATTTCTGTTTATTTTCTGTTTGTTCCAAATCGCCAGCATCCACAGTTCTTTTCTTTTAAAAGAATAAGGGGGATGCTACTTAGGTCCAAGATGAGAATTTTTTTTTTTAACTTGGAATATTGTGAACCTTTGGAATTCTGTACCTCAGAGGGCATTGGAATCTCAGTCTTTGACTATGCTGAAGGTGGAGATTGATTTCTGATTACCCATGGTATACAGGGTTAGGCACATGAGGTGCATAGGTAATGGACCTAGACAGCATACTCCTGATTCTATGTTTTTCCAAGTTAGTGGTGACCTTGGTGAAAGTTTTGTATCCAGGAATGTAAAGAACTTCTAATAAGCAGGAACCAAGCCGTGTACACAAATTTCTGTCTCACTTGTATTTGGTGTAAATGAACCCCTTCATGTCCGACAGCTATATTTGTCTTTTAAAATAAAAACACCTCATGTCATTCGAAGGATTTATTTTCCAGTATCCCCTTGAGCTAAACAATTTCTTCCAGGATGTCGTCGTAATGCACAACCTGTCTACTTCTATCACAACGTTTATTTTGTAGTCAGAGTGGTTTTGCCTGTTGCTTTCCACTGTTCTTGAGCAGTATGTGTGACCACCTTATATTTTCCCTAATGGCAGGAGGAACTGAAGCACTTTGAGACAAAGATTGAGAAGCACCAGCATTATCAAGAACAGTTAGATTTATCCCATCAGAAGCTGAAACATGTGGAGACAATTGGGGACAAGGAACACTTATCCAGGAACAAGGAGAAGTATGCAATGCTAACGGAAAAGACAAAGGAACTTGGGTACAAGGTAAATGAGTGCCTTTGTTATGCCTGTCTTTAAAATAAGTGTTCTAGCTCTTTTGGAAAAGCCTGTTATAATGTTTGTTGTTGACTGTGGCAAGGAACCCAATTTGTGCACAATGAGATTTTAAAAATAGCAATTGCAATAATGACTAGATTATTTGTCTTCAGTGACATTAATTAAAGGATGATTAGTCCAGGTCACTGGGGAGAACTTCTCATTGTTCTTCGAAGTAGCAGCCATGGGCTGTTTTGCACTCAACTGAGATGGCAGGCCTGATCCCAGTTTAATGTTTTAAATGACAGATCACTTAATAACACAAACACTTTTTGAACTCCTGTCTTATCCAGTCTGCTATTATTTATAGGCTCTTTATTTCAAATGATGTATAAAAATAGGGAGGTCTTGCTAAAGATATTCAAGGCACTAGTTGGACCACACCTGGAATACTATGAGCAATTTTGGTCCCCGTATCTATGAGAAAGTATACTGGCATTGGACACAGTAGATAGAAGGATCCCTAGGTTGATACTATGTGAGGAGAGGTAGAGTAGATTAGGCCTGCACTTGTTGGAGTTTAGAAGAATGAGAGGAGACTTTATTGAAGCATTCAGGATTCTTAAGAGGCTTGACAGGATAGTGTGGGGAGGTTGTTCTCCCTTGTGGGAGAATCTAGGACCAGAAGGCATAATCCCTGGTCATTTAAAACAGATTAGGAATTTCATCTGAGGGTAGTGAATCTGCGGAATTCTTTACCACAGAAGGCTGTAGAGGCTGTGTCATTAAGTATATTCAAGGCTGAGATTGACTTTTAATCAGGAGGGGAATCAAAAGCTATCGGGATAAGGCAGGAAAGTAGAGATCTTAGTATCATACAGTACAGAAGGGGCTCTTTGCCCCATCAAGTCTGTGCTACCAAAACTGCCTACTCCTTACACTAGTCTCACTTTCCTGCACTAGGCCCATAGCCTCAAATGTTCTGACATTTCAAGTGCTCATCATTTTAAAGGTTACGTTTCCTGCCTCAACTACCCTCCCAGACAGGGCATTTCAGATTCCCACCACCCTCTGGGATGAGGATTATCAGATCAGCCATGATCAACTTGGATGGTGGAGCAGACTCGATTGTCTGAATGGCTTTCTTCTACTGCTTTGTCTTAAAGCCTTGTGGTTCTTTGGCAGCTTGACTTTTAAGTAAATCTGAACTTAGTGTTGTTACATTTATTTGAGGGAAAAGATGAGGTAAAGGTGTCTGTGTTAATGTGCTAAATGCTGCTGTTCCAGTAACTTTGTAAGGCTGTGATTAAACTTCCTCCTTTGTTTTATTCTCCAAGTTAATCCGTCCCTATGATACTGACATCCTGTGGTTACAAATGGGCACTGGTTATTTCAGGTGCCTTCTTTGGGTAGTGACAGAATCCCCACATGTTTGAACAGTTTGCACATTCCATGCCAGAGCACTCGCCTGAGGATTAGCTATTTTGTTGCTGTCCATGGAGCCGAACCTCAGCAAGTATAAATACCTCTACAGAGAACAATGTACATTCAAATGTACAGTTTTTACTCAGTTTGCAAAGAATAGCTTGTACAAGAAAATATAATACTTCTGTCATCTTGTTTCAGGTCAAGAAACACATGCAAGATCTTCTGGCTAGATTGTCAAAGGGAGGGCTAAACCACAATGAACTATGATTCCTGTTCTGCCTAAAACCTGGAACTGCTGTATTTCTATAGCTGGAAGATACAATTAACAGTTGTTTAGACTGGATATAAGTCACCAGGTTTTAATGGATGCACTCGACCATAACTTAATTTCTGTGATGATTCGCCTCTTTTGTACAAATCATTGGAAACACCAGAATTGGAGCACAATCAAAAAGCTTGTTATATTCTGTTACTCGTACTGAACTACATGCTGTTAATGAAGGTGCTTCTTTACATAACTGCTTTGATTTGAATTGAGTTTATCAGGTCATGATGAATCATTTCCGTAATGAATGTGTTTTGTAAATTAAACTCATAAGTTTCTGTACATTGGTATTTGTATTGTTGCTGCCTATTCACTCTCATTTTTAGATCTGTAGGCAGGGTTTGAAACAACCTACTACAGACCAACAAATTAGTTTTACCGACCTAGACCTGTCTTCAGAGGTGAACTTTGTAAAAGAAGTGCAGAAATCCTATGAAGGTGACATCACCCTCTCTAAAGTGCAATGTGTCTAATATAATCCGGTCTAACAGTCCACTACAGTGCGGAGTTGTGTGGTTAAACTGAAATTCTGGGCCACCCCTGTCTACCCACCCCACCCCCCGATGGATGTAAAAGATCCCCTGACTTTATTCAAAGTGCAGCAGTGGAGATCTCCCCAATATCCTGACCAATATTTAACCCTCGGCGAATATTTTTAAAACAGATTAATCAGTCAGTATCTGTTGTTTTGTCAGTGCCTGCTGTGCGCAACTCCTAAGCTACAAGATTTTGATGCCCATCAGATGTTGTGGGGCAGACTAAAACTTGGGAACTTAGTTTGAGTAAGAGTGCCTCCCCTTGAGACAGATATGATTTTTTTTATACCCTGAGTGTCATTGGTGTCTGGAACTCTCTTCTCCAGAAGGTAGTGGAGGCTGGGTCTTTAATTTTATTCAAGACTAAGTTAGACTTTTGATATCAAGGGAGTCTGGTGTTACGGGGTCATAGGCAGGACAGACTTTAAACCATAACCAGATGCTTGATGATCACTCGTGCAATAACCTGTTTTTCGTTTGAGTTAATTTCCTCTGGGGAATGATGGGGGCAACTGATGACCACCGTGACAAAATTTGTACCTTTGCCGCTTCCTTGCCTACCCATCATTCTGGCCTGGCAGTGAGCTTCTGGCAACCTGTCCCCGCCTTCAGTTTTTCACCTCCATAATGCCGCAGACTTAATTGGATTCAAGTCTTCCAAATGCAACTGATGTTTTCTTTTTAAATGCTGGTCCTTGTGTTTTCATACCATCCCCCTTCTTAGATCATAGATCATAGAATCCCCACAGTGTGGAAAGAGGCTCTTTGGCTCAAAAGTCCACACCGACCCATCCCCCTATAACCCACGTAAGCTTCACATCACTGAACACTACGGGCAATTTAGCACGGCCAATCCACCTAGCCTGCACATCTTTGGACTGTGGGAGGAAGCCGGAGGAAACCCACGCAGACACGGGGAGAATGTGCAAACTTCACACAGTTGCCAGAGGCTGGAATTGAACCGGGTTCCCTGGTGCTGTGAGGCAACAGTGCTAACCACTAAGCCACCTTCTTCTTTTAACATGCAGCCCTACAACCTCCACAGGATCAAAGTGAAGACTGTTGAAGAGATCTTGTAGGTTTCCAAGTTTCTCATCTGCCTTCGGAACATGCAACTATGAGAGAAACCCCAAGGCTGAAATGAAATAAGCAAACTTGGGGGATGGGCTGTGTCAAGAAAAGTCTCCACATTCAATACTTGTGTAAAGGCAATGTCACAAAGGTTGCATGACATCAGATGTTACCCTGTGCTGGTCGGTGGCTTCATTTTCCAGCCTTCCCTCAGGGTGCAAGCACATTGTCTTTTTATTCTGGTTAAAAGAGGAAAATGCTGGACTGGAAAGAATATGTAGCAACAGTTCTACAAGACAGCACCATTGCAGATGTTGCCATCGTTGGATGCACCCCCAAAAACAAACAGATTTGGGCGTGCAGGAGTGATGGTGTGCTGGGCCAGATTACATCTCAGGAGATCGAAGTGATCATTGACAAAGACAGAAAGTCAATCCTCCAAAACGGGATCACCATCGGTGGGAAGAAGTACTCAATCATCCGGGACAATATGCTGCTGGAGAAGAACCCCTCGATGGATGTCAGGACACTGGGTGATGAAGGAAAGAGCATCTGTATTGGCAAATCATCCAACGCTCTGATGTTTCTGATGGGACAGAAAGGAGTTCATGGAGGGGTTGTGAACAAAAAGATGCATGATTTAGTGGATTCCCTAAACAGAAATGGTAACATCTAATTCCCATGAGTGAAATAAAGCTGGTAAAACCTTAATTTTTTTTTTTTTGATGCTTTTTTCTTACTGCATTAGAACTTTTTTTAAAGTTACTCCAAGGTTTCTGTTCAAAAGTGTGTATAATAGTTATTATTTTAATATTGAGTGGAACAGAATTCTCCATGTTGCAGATACTCCCCTGCTCAATATTGATACCTGATATTTTGAATGATAGGCAGCAGCACAAACAACTGCAGATTGGAAGGAAATACCAAACAGTAGTCCTGGAAACTGATAAATCTGGCCCAACATGTAATTATCCCTGAAATGACTCATAATACTCATTGTCATGTAAATTCTTTGTTTCCCTGCTAATAGTACAGATCACAGGCAACTCCGTGTGGAGCTGGAGGAACACAGCAGGCTAGGCAACATCAGAAGAGCAGGAAACTTGACGTTTGAGATCGGGACCCTTCTTCAGAAATGGGGGAGGGGGAAGGGATCTGGGAAATAAAGAGAGGGAGGAGGGGTAGGATGGTGATAGGTGAGTGCACGTAGGGAGTGGTGGGGATTGGTCAGTGAGGTGGGAGAGGCAGATAGGCGGGAGAGAAGATGGACAGGTTGTGTCAGGTCAAGGAGGCGGGAATGAGAGGGAGGGTTGGACATGGGATGAAGCCAGTGGGGAGATTTTAAAACTGGTGAAATCCATGTTTAGGCCATTGGTCTGCAAGCTCCCGAGGTGGAATATGAGGTGCTGCTCCTCCAGTTTGCAGGTGGTGTTGGAGAAACCCAGGATGGACATGTCACCCAGGGAGTGGGAAGGGGAGTTAAAATGGTTGGCGATTGGAAGGTGATGTCGTTTATCATGCTCCGTGACTCCCTCGTCCGCTCCACGCTCCCCACAAACCCCGGCATCCTTCCCTGCAACCACAGGCCACCTGCCCCTATACCTCTTTCTCTCCACCCCCTCACCGCCCCACCAATCTCTATTCAAGGCCCAAAATCAACCTTTCATATTAGGCAGGGGTTCACCTGTACATCCGTCAACTTGGTCTACTGTATCTGCTATTCCCAATGTGGCCTCCTCTACATCGGTGAGACCATTTCGTAGAGCATCTGCGTTCTGTATGTGACAAACAACATCTTCCAGTTGCCAACCATTTTAACACCCCCCCCACAACACCCTCCACCCCTCCCACTCCTGGGGGTGTCTTGTCCATCCTGGGCTTCCTCCAGTGTCACAATGACACCACCCCAAACTGGAGATGCAACACCTCATATTTCGCCTCGGGAGCCTACAGCCCAATGGCCTAAACATGGATTTCACCAGTTTTAAAATCTCCCCACCCCCTGGCCTCATCCCATAACCAACGCTCCTTCTATCCCCACCTCTTTGACCTGACACAACCTGTCCATCTTCTCTCCACCTCTCTCCCCACCCATCCCACTGACCAATCCCCACCACTCCCTACCTGCACTCTCCTTTCACCATCCCACCTACCTTCCCCAGCCCTACCCCTCATCTATTTCCCAGCTGCCTTCCCCCTCCCCATTTCTGAAGAAGTGTCCTGACCCGAAACGTCAAGGTTCCTGCACCTCTGATGCTGCCTGGCCTACTGTGTTATCTCAGACTCCAGCACCTGCAGTTCTTGCTATCTGTGAGTGATAAAAAGAGACTGTGATCTGTATTAATCTCCAACATACCCATCCCTTTATCTGCTGATGAAGCCCTCATCTATACCTTGTTACTTTGTCAATTGTTGGAAAAACCTATCTGGTTCACTAATGTCATTTAGAGAAAGAAACTGCCATCCAAAACAATGGTTTCATGGTCATCATTAGACTCTCAAGGCCAGATTTCCTTTTTGAATTCAGATCCACCATTTACTGTGGCAGGATTTGAACCTAGGTCTCTGGAATGTGATCTAGGTCACTGGATCAATAAGCTAGCAAATAACGACATGAGGCCGTTACCTCCCCTATATCCCTGAGGAACACCATAGCACATTTTGCTGATCAGAATTCATTAACTTCATTCTTACTCTCACTTTTCAACCAATGTCATAGTTATGTTAAAATACCCTGTATTTTCATTAATTTTGTGCAAACCCTCATTAAGTGCTAACTTCTTGAAATTGTTATGCACAACTTCCACAATAAACACATCCCTCCAATCTATTTGATTTTATGCTTCCAGAAGCCTAAGCTGTCATTGGGATGTAAAGTTCTTCTCCAACCCCACAGTCTTTACACTTGGGCACAGTCTTTACACTTGGGCACAGTCAAATCCTTCTGGTGGACTGAGACGTTTTCCAGAAAGCTTGCTTAACAATTTGATGTTGGAGGTTTGTGCAGCATCACATGGTGTGGAAGATTTCACAATGCAAGGCATAGAGTTTGCCAAGAAAGGGAAAAGAGTTTTAAAAACAAACTTGGACACCAACAGATCAAACTCGATGACTGTTTATTGAAAAGGTCAGATCACCAACGTGTTGAAAACGCATCAAATCTCCAAAGAACAAGTAATGATATTTTAACAGGTACAATGCATATACTCTTCATTGATCACAACGTTGTGTGCTATGGAAGTTTTATCTTAAAACACATTGAGAGTAAAAACACATCCTCTGTGTTTATAAATAGTAAACAGCCTATTAATCATTGCCACTCGCAGCTGCAGAGTAAAATACATGCCTGAGTGCTTAATTGCTTAAAAGCCACTCCTATTTCCCTTTCCTAACAGTTTTGTCAGTGGCAGTGCATAAACTGAGCCACACAGACCAGAAGGTCCCAGGTTCAATTCCTGATCTGTGCCAAGCAAACTGCTCGCTGTAGCAATGCAGCAACTGATCTTACTGCCCAGTGCCAAAGATGGGGAAAGATAATTCCAATTATCCATTATCCCAACATGGACCTGTTGGGGCAATTGGTCTGTTTTTGTCTTATAAATACTTTGTAGTAATCCCTGTTGCAAGTTTACTGGTGTCAGCATCCATCTAGGCTTTGTTGCACTCAAAAGACAT